GCAGCTCCCGGCTCACGTGGTTGTCACCTCTAGCGAGAATTTCTGCCCCGTCGAATTTGAGTGTGTGGCCGAATCTCGTCGAATGAGCCGCAGCTTGAGAGCAGGCGTCATTTCTCCGCCCCGTTGCAGCTTGTAAGGCCATTTGTGTTCGGAGCTTTGTGTGCAACTGCACCAGATCCGATAAACGACTCCTGACGTTTCTAGCTGTGGCAATGGGTCTTTCGGTTTCCTTACCTGACGCCTGATTGTTACCTACGGTCTGTGTGCAACCCCAACCCCAAATGGTGCACGAACGCGGCCGACAGCTTCTGAAACATTTTTACAATATGGAAGCGCTCGCCAAAATTGTTGGATTATTTCACACGCCAGAAGTGAGTGACAAAGGTGACCACAAACTCTGAGTCTGCGAAACGCCGTAGCAGTTTCACATGCAGGAATCCAAAGGCGACCGGCTGTATCTGCCACGGCCATCGTTAAAAAATAACCAGGATGGCCGCCGGCAAAGGTTGTTCTGTGTAATTTTTTACCGCACAAACAAAATAGGTGCTAGTTAAGAGCCCAGACACGCTTGCTTCGCCGATCTTGTGCCGCTGTCTGATGCAGCTGCAAACCCTCCGGGTCATAAATAAATCCCCCAGCATTCCCGTGTGTTTTTTGGTATATGGTCTCCAGTTGCATCTTGCCATGCTTAATTTCTGAGGAGGTAAATGCGCGAACTTGGAGTAAATACTTCGGAACAGTCTCTGAGCAAAACGTTGTTCATTAGCTCAACTGACTCACCAGGCAACGTATAGGTTCAAAGCCTCGAATTCAATGTAGTGCTAACTGTCTTGGGTAGTCGCCTTTCTGATCTTGTGGTTAAAGAGGTGAAAGAGAAAGAGAATGTGTGGCGGTCAAGAATGTGAGATCAACTTAAACCACACACAATAAGGTCGTTGCGTCTAAGGTCAGAAGTCAGGGAGCTGTGACAACTAGTTTATTCTATACACAGGGCAGGTTGCCGTAAGTTGGCTGTTTGCTTGCGACGGAGATAAGCGTCCGTTAACGGAGTGTCAGTCGCGGCGTGTTTTCGCGGGAGTGCATGTCTGTATCAGCAGCAGGGGATGACTGGCTGAGTGTTGGTCGTGTGATTGGACAAATTAAGGGAGGAATAGGGGGGCGCATGCTTACAAGGCCTCATAGCGTTCGACGCGCGTGAGGTGATGAAAGTTAGTGGGGTCAGCCGAGAGTCACTGCTACTGGGCGGGAGGTAGCCCAGTTCTAGCCGGCAGGGTAGACCGTGTGTCAACAGCTGTCGCGGCCATGGTTCGACAAAACGTAGCAGGAGAAAATGGGGGACTGGAGCGGCTGCTACAAATGTCTCATTCTCCAACCAGATCAATGAAACGCTGTCGCAAAGTGACCATACTTTCCCCCCTAAAGTAAAGTTGGGTCGGATCTTATTTCGTAGCCTTACCTGCAGTAGACAAGCCCCAGCTTAACCCCTAAACCTAACTCATCACCCCAAACCCCAACCCCTAACTTTAACCCCTAACCCTGACCCCTAGCCCCAATCCCTACCCCCTGCCCCCTAACTCCTATCCTTAACACTAACCCTATGAAATAGGACCTTGCCTAAAGCCGTCGAACTCAAACCACGGAGCTACCAGCTACGCTTGTCGGCAGTTTATTCGCGGCAGTCTTGGTCAAATCTTGGTTGAACTGCAAAGGGCATTTTGATTATGTCAGACCAAGCATCTACTGCAAGGGAAGGCGCGCTGAAATATTCATAATTTGCGCAAATTATATTTATCATTGTGCAATGATTTACCGTACTAACAACACAGGTATTAGCTAAAAACCAAGACACGCGTGTTTCGCCGATCTTATGCCGCTGCCTGATGCAGCCGCGAGGGGTTTGGCTCGTCAGTGGGTCCCCCAGCTTTCCCCTTGTGTCTTCTGGTATATGAACTCCAGTTTCACCTTACCTTGTTTAATTTCCGAGGAAATTAATGCGCAAACTTGGAGTAACTCCCTCGAAACGGGCCTTTTCAGGCCAGCGGAGACTGGAATGTCCCCTTCCGGTTTTCTAGCCGTCGAGAGCTAGCCCCACCCAACCCAGATCCCTTGGTCATTGAGCGTTAAATCCAGCGTTCTGCCACTGAACTACGCGTTCGTCGGCTTGTCGGTTGTGATTGATAATATTAGTGGTCCTGAGAAGGGCGTTTACCGACCGGGTTCGGGGTCCTACGCGCTCCACTGCAGACGACAGAGCAACAGACGCGTTGAGTCACTGGTGGAATGTCGAACTTGATGCTCAAGAACCAACGTGTCCGAACTCGAGAACAGACAGACCTAGAATTTGGCAGGACTGACTGGCAATGGCCAGTAGGCCAGAAAGGACTGCCTTAGTCTCTTCCGTCTCTGTCGGCATTCTCCCCGCGCACTTTTACAGGTAGCTTTCGGAAAGCCGTTGCTAATACGAAGACTACGGAACAGTTGGCGTCTTCTGAAGGCTTGTTATTTACCTTCTGCCTGATAAAATCCACCTTTACAGTGTCCGTTTTAGACGATTTTACGGCCAAGCCATGGCCTGTTTAACGAACGGCGCGCTACTATTCATGCAACGCCGAGGACTAAATCTCCAAAACAGGGTAAAGAATATGGTCCCGATTTTGAAAGAATGCGGGAAAGATCCTATTTCGTAGACGCACCTGTTAGGGTTTAGGGTTAGAGGTTAGTATTAGGGTTGGGGGTCGGGGTTAGGGCTATAGGTTAGGACTGAGGTTAGGTGTCAGGGTTAGAGGTTAAAGGCTAGGATAAGGGGTTAGGATTAGGTGTTACGGTTTAGGATTGAGGTTAGGGGCCAGGGTCAGAGGTTAGAGTCAAGGGTTGCGGTAAGTGGTCAGGGTGGGGAATTAATGTCAAGGGCTAGGGTTAGGGGGTTAGGATCAGGGGGTCACGGTTTAGGATTGAGGATAGGGGTTAGTGTTAGCGGTTAGGGTAGGGGAGAGAAGCAACGAACGTTCATCATGTTAAACGCATCCAAGGTTAGGTTAGGGGTTAGTGTTAGGTGTAGGATTAGGGGTTAGGGGTTAGGATTAAGTGCTATGGTTTAGGGTTGAGGTTAGGAGCTAGGGTTAGAAGTTACGGTAGGGAAGAGAAGCAACGAACTCTGTTCTAGTTAAATGCATCGAAGATTGTTTTAAAGTCTTTTTTATAAGATACAATATTCCATCATCACAATCGTCCTCACCATCACCAACATCGCTATTATCACCAACATCCTCCCTATTATCATTGTCATCAACATCAATCTCAAAAGAGACCCAAATTCTTTAGAACTGAAATTACCGCACTCTATAGGCAATCATAGCCATCATCACCGCTGCCATCATCATCATCATCATCATCATCATCAGCAGCAGCAGCAGCAGCAGCATCACTGGCGCCAGCAATTCTTCGCATCCGACTTCAGTTCCCTTCAGAATGTGCACCTCCCCCAGCAAATAGGAGGTTTGCAGTAGACGGTCCCTCGACCCTGGTTTATTACCAAAGCCTGGATGGCTAAAATAAGCTGGAGAACTGAGGGCTACCATTCGTTTGCTGAATGCTCGCTATATATAGGCACATGCGGATACGGTGTATCACAGAGACCCTCGCACATGCATGCACTTTTCATTGTTTACGACGCCTGATCGAGACACACGTCCAAAAATGGGGACACTGGCCGAGGCCGTGTCGACTGGGCTGAGGGGGCAGACAGTGGTGTGACCTTGAGGTGGCGGTCTTGACATGAAGGAGTCTGGTTGACGGAGGTGTCCGCAAAAACACTAATCGTCCGATAGCCCAGGAACTGTGTGCTGGTTGAGAGAGGACCGGACAGTCTGCTGGGTCAGCCAGTCTCAAGACTGGGAGGAAGGCTGCGTCGGCTTCTTCTTCGTGTGACGTTATCACGTATGCGAGTTCCCGGCCGCCCGGTAGGTGTAACGCCGACGAGGTCGCGCGTGCTGCGCGTAGACTGGCCGCAACCCGATACACGCTCACTTCCACTCGTCCTGACCTTTGCTTGCTACCTCCGCTCGTGTGCTGAGGGCGATAGAGTGAACGTCGCCAATTGTGGCAGCTGGACTGTCAGACAGCTGAATGTGAGAGCAGAGTCATTGGAAATGTTGCGGAATCAGGGTTTCGGGTTCAGTCTTGCGATCATGTAGTGTCGACTGGTCCTAATCGGGCGGATAGCAGCCATCCAGTGTTCCCAATCTATAGACAGTTATTTTTCTCGCCGCAGATTATGTATGTTTGTAGCGACTAAGCTGTGCAATTGTGTACTCAGCGTACTGCAGTCAGGGGGTCAAATCCTGAGTTGAAGCAAAAGACACCAAATTGAGAGCTTTAATGTATGCCGAATCCCGGGTTGCACTCTCAGGCGGCAGTGGCCGCTAGCGGAGCCAGGGCTGGTGTTGACTGCGTCCAGTCATGCAGAAGCCTCTAGGACAGTGGTGGCGGCCGCTTTTGTAGGCTCGTGGGCCAAGCTTAAGTGGTCTCCAATTGGTTTGTGTGTTGCATTTGTCGGGGAGCGGTGACCCAGTGGCTTGGGCTGCAGTGGCAGGGGAGGGGGAGGGGATGCTGCGTCCAAGTGACCGCATGAGCAGCTGCGACCGTATGGACGCAGGTGTGTCCGAGCCGAATCGGCCGAGTGGTTTCGGATCAGCGCCTCTGGAACGGCTCGCTGCAAGGCGTGAATGACCTTGAGGCAGCGAGGCCTTGGACAATGACGCCAGACCGGCCATGATGACTGTCCGCAACAGGTTTTACAAGTTTACTCAACCAGCGGAACAGTCGCGCGCGAACATTCGAGGAGGTACTATATCCCTGGTCAGATTTTTGGTTAGCAGAGTCCTCTGTGGTGTCCTTCTGAGAAGGAATTTGGCTGCTTTTAGGGGTGCAGGCCCTCTGAATACAAAGGTTTTTAAAGGTGAGGCGCAGATACAGAGTTTAGGACGAGTTTCCCTAAAAATATGAGCAAAAATGGCGATGATGATGATGACGACGACGTCGACGACGGTGGTGGTGGTGGTGGTGGTGGTGGTGGTGGTGGTGGTGGTGGTGGTGGTAATGGTGGTAAGGAAGAGGAGGAGGAGGAGGAGGAGGAGGAGGAGGAGGAGGTTGGTTCATCCTGACGGATTTTGTCGTGGGGTGCTTTTTGTTTAGAGGAGAGAGAGAGGGCAGATATTTTTGGTGATTCCAGTCAACAGATGCCGTGCTTTTTGTCGCCGGAGTCCGTAACGAACGTTGTCTTATGGTAATTAGGCGTTGTCCCACCTTCGTGATCGGCCTGAGGTCACAGACTCTGCACGCCTGACTGGTGTGCGATATGCAAGTCTCGCGAGCCACCTAGCTGGCGTCAGGACACTAGCGCCAGTTAAGGGCTCAGTTCGTCTGCCATTCGGCAACTTAGCAAACTGTTCTGGCTCGGGTAACCGATTCGCTTTCTTGCAGTTTGTGCTGCTCGATTAGGAAGGCGCCTTAGACATGGCAAGGCATGTTCCGCAGTCCTGGAGACGGTAGGGAAGTAAAGAGCCAATCAGCTGTCAGATCCGCGAGGCCTACACCAAAAAAAGGAAACTGATCAGTTCAAGGCCGGCTAGCTAGGCGGATCATTTTCCGTTCTTTCCGATTTTGCGCATCTAAAGCTTTGACAGCGGTGGTCCGACTAATTTCATGAAACCTCGGAAAAACCCTTACGTTTTCATTAGTTCTCAATCTGAGAATACTTTGTCAGTGTCCGCGCCCAACCCATCCTGCCAAACTGAATTCCCCCAGGCGAAATCGCGCCTCAATCAGGATTCGAACGCAGACCTAAACATGCAACCCGTAAACATGTCAGCCTGTAAAGAACCTCCAAACGCTGACATGGGGTTCACTTTAATGCTTTGAGAGATGCACTCAGAGCTCGGCCGTGCTCAAACAGCACCCTGCAGCACCCACTCGATGCAATTCACGGAGTTAAAAAACCCCCAGTAGACCGACAAAGACAAAATGCACCAAAGCATGTCACCTCAAATCGTGTTTATGAATCCGCATGTACGTCTGGATGGAAGCGAGTTAGACGAACGCAAAATCAGTTTAGCACATGCCTAAATGGCTTTCAAATTCAAAAAAATACGCAGCCGTCATTCTTCTGTAGCGACACATAAATAATGGTGAATGCGTACAGCTCACAAATAAGCGACACACTAAAGAAACCCAACTGGCTGACAGGGCTAAAGAAACGAGGTTCGGGGAGCAGTCTGGAAGAATGAGGCACACCCCCTGGAGTTACGCACAGATTGGAGGCAATAATAGGGCACTGAATCATGAATCCGGAGGACCCACTACCACGGCAAGAACCTAAGGAGTCGTTTACCAGGTTTGGTACGCTTGTAGACAAGGCAATTATATCGGAGCAACTTGAATTCTGCGCTGGACGCGGATGCCCGAGCACGCAGTAGCAGTTAGGAGGAACAACGTCAGCCCCAAAGTTGCGGCCCACTCGTCGTGGCCCGGCCGCACACATTCACGTTCGATGAGGCCGGAATTATCGTCAGAGGCGACAATCGCGTGAGCCGCGAACTGCTCGAGTAATGGTTTTCCGGTCCTCAGTTAGGCGGTTGAAAGTTTGATCGTCGTGGTCGATGATGTTCGCCGTGTGCTCTACAGCAAAGTGGGAGCAGGAACAGTGGCTTATGTGTGCATTAGTTTATGGCGACAGTAGGTTTGAACCACATTTATCGCACGTTCTTCTCCTCCCCCGCCTGGGCCCGTTGTCAAGACGCAGTCAGGAAGACAGAGGTGGGAGAGGGGCGCAGGGGGTTGGCACGGCCGAACCCGCCAATTTATGTGCCACTCCACATCCCCTGGTCCACAACAAACACTTGATCAGGATTTTAATCAGCAACAACGCAACAGGAGCGCAAGCGCAACTACCGACAGGGAACTAGGTGCCAGAGAACTGCCAACGCACACCAGGTAATCGATCAACAAACGTAACGACCTCGCACCTCCATATTCATTGCTAAGACTGTGTCTAGGGGAAGTAGTTAGCCACATGGAGAGCGCACGGATGGCTACTAATCCTGGTGTCAGTGTCGGCAAGCCAAAGTGCCCAAGGACCCATACAGCTGATGAAATTGCGACCACTGGCAACTCGATTTCGGGCACCTAGACAGTTACCGCACCTGGTGCAACTTTCTGTAATGCACTCGGAGGCAGGCTAATAAAGCTCTTGTCCCAGCGATCGTTTCTAGATCTTCGCGAAGCCTAACTTGCTCAAACAGTTAGATCATGGTGAAAAGGTGCTGTTGGACCAGCCATGTATTTATGAAACCGCCCCTTCCTTCACTATTCTGTTGCATGTTTATTTGATCCTTTTGTATCGACCAGACTGTGTGATCCTAACTACGACCTTGCCGTCTACAGCTTGTAACTTAATACCTTATTGTGGAAAGCCCGAATTGATTTTCTGAACGAATACAACCTGCCTTGTATTTATTACTTGCTGAGCATGTTAACAGCCTGCCGATGGGCTGACTCAACTAAAAGCCTCGGTCCAACGCGTGCTACGATTACATACGACACAGTTGAGAGATCCGGGAAGAAGGTTTGAGAAACGTGTTTGGTCGACTCACCACTATGAAAGCGTAAAATGCACAAATGCATATGGTGTGCCGAGACAGTCAGCCTCGGGCCCGTCGATTTTTCTCTCATTTCGCTACCTCGACCTTTTCTTTGGTTGCTTAATGGGCTAGAAATCTGTGAATACAATACTGTGTACCTTCACCTCACACATCAACCTGGTCGGTCACTTGCGAATCCATCGTACAGAGATTGGCGAACCAGTGCGTGAAGCACCAACCTTCACCCACCGCACTCGCCTCCACTGCCCACAATGCCCTCGCACCTTCAGGCATCGCATGGGCCTATTCGGCCACATGCGCATCCACGACGACCTGCGGTAGACAACCGCCGGCCACACCACACATTCACTCACTCCGTACCTCCTCCACCACCACCTCACCCCACCAGAAATCAACACTCACACACCTCATGCACCCAACTGCCACCTCCCACACAAGTGGGAAGTGTGCATCTCGACTCGGTCCCCATGCGGCTTCGGCTGCACGGGTGACTTGAGTCCGAGACTATCCCGACACGTCAAGCGTTGTGGATAGGAAGGTTGCTAATTGACGCCCGCTCTCGGTTCACGCAGTTCGTCGCGTTGTGTGTGTGAGTGTGTGTGTGGAGTGGCGGACTGGTGGGCTGGGGACGGGCTGAAACAGCACCTTCCACGGCACTCTCACGCAAGTGAGAGACACGCCGTTCAACCCCCGTTGTATGAAATCCTGGTGTTTGTAAGTATGGGGGGCCAAGTCGTGCCCTGGCGCGCGCAGTCATGGTCAGTCGACCATGACAGCCACCGCGCCCATTCCCCACTCCAGTCTGCTGACCGGCTCGGACAGCGGCTGGGGTGTGGGAGTGGGAAGGGAGAGTGAGGTCGACGACTCAGCGCACCTTCTCCTCATTATAAACAATCTGACGCGCTTGAAGCTATCACGGTGCGCTAAAAGCCGTGGCTTGGAAGGTTGCCAACTGACGGGGTAACTTGGACCTCCTCCTTGACCGGAGGCGGTCTGAGGGTCAGGCTGCAATGGCCCCTTTTTAATGTGGCCTTTATGACACTCCCATCACAGTGTGGGATCCGAGCCAGGCGTTGGCGACACGCCCAGGTGCGGCTTCGGCCGTGCCAGCCTCCAAATCTCTGTTGTACTGGTTAAAATCCTGGTTATTTGTTGTGTGGACCAGGGGGTGTGGTGGAACGCCAAGGTGAGGATCCGTCCGAGCCATTCACCTGCGGCCTCTCTCGTCTCCGGTCTTCTTGACTCTGTCTTGACACCGGGCTCGGGAGGAGGAGAGAGTGTAGGTAGATGCTACGCAAGTCTACCGGCACTATAAACCCCTGCGTAAGTCACCGTCCCTGCTCCCATTGCTGCTGCAACTGTACGGCACACGGTGAACATCATCGAAAACGATGGTCGAACTGTCACAGGTGCGTGCCCGGCCGTGCTAGCTACCTGCGATCTCTTCTGTCTTCGGTCTTCTTGACTCAGCCATGACAGTTGGGCCAGGTGGGAGAGAAGTCTTTGGTAGATGCTGCGCAAGTCTACTCTCACTACAAATTAATTCACGCGCAAGTCGCCGTCCCTGATGTCACTCTGCCGTGGAGCGAACGGTGGACATCGTCGGACGCAACGCCCGAGCTCTCTCTCTCACACTCTCCGAACTTGTTCGTACATTTATTCACTAAAAATGAAAAAAATGACTTAAGGCAGTGCAGTAGGGGCTCAAGTAGACCTTCCGACTTTAGTGGCTTGTGCATCTCATAGCGCTCCGCCGATAGTGCTTTCACAAGGCCAATCGTTAGTTGTCGAATCGGGGTTACGAGTGAGACGACACCAAAGGACAGAGAACAACACTTGAGGGGTGGTATACAGATAGCAACTTTGTAAACAGGCAGCCTGACCTTGCCGGAGCCAATAAAGTCTTGATTCATTATGTACACAAGGATCAGGATAAGATGACCACACAACTGTGCAAACACTGCTCGACAACGAACCTTCCTGACGAAGGAGAAAAGAGAGTCACCAGACCGAATAACGTCCGCAGTGGCTCAAACCAGCCTCCATCGAGGTGAATGAACACGGAGTGCACATTATAAGTCTCCACATCCCCTTCGGCATACCTCTGATCATTTATCTCACAGAAACGGCTGTACCGTGTAAAGATGAAGTCGTGGTAGCTGGGGGCTCACCGGTCGTTTTCACGGAACTCACTCGTCCCGTTGTGCCTTACGTGTTCTCTCCATCAAGCCTATATCATTCGCCGCTGTGCGGATGCTGGTTGGGCTCGAGAGAGAGAGCCCGCAAGGCAAAACGGGACGAGTGGGTTCCGTAAAAACCATCCGCGAGCGCTCCTCTACCATTGTACATTCTCGATCTCCACCGACAAGACAACGAGCCCGTGGCTCAGTGGTTAGTGGCGTTGGACTTTTAACCAACAGGTCGAGTTCGGGTTGGGCATGACTGGCTGACGACGGCTGATAAGCCAAAAATGGCCATTCCAGTCTCCCTCGTCTTTGAGTCGCGCGGCCTCAATGATGTCGCGAATTGTACCTCCCCAAGCGTGACGATCAGCTCGACATATTCTCCCCCAGCGACAGAGGCCGAATACAGAAGGTTCCAATGTCACCATGTCTTGGCAAAATGTGTCGAGCCAGATTATGGGCTGCTTGTCCCCCCCCTTTTTTTGACGCCGCCAGACGTTCAATGTATTTTCACGAAAAAGCCAATTAACAGTGTGAGTCAGGGCACTGCGAACACTACATCCGGTAGACTCGACTTCCTTCGAGACGGTGGTGGCAACTGCAGCAAGGACTCTCTTCACAGGACAGCGAAGGACCACAATCGGCCGACAACAAAGTCATTATAGACGGAATCACAAACGCGAAAACGCAGAATTAGCAGTGTTGTACGACAGACGGTGCTGCGCTGTCTCTACGAAGGTTTCTAGAGGATGTTATGCCCCACAGTATTCCCGTCCAATGGGATCGGGAAGGCTTCGCGTATATCAGCCTTTACCAGCCAGGCACACCCCCAACTTGATTAGACTTCAAAACCGAAGGGGAACAACTGAGTCGCTCGTCACCCCTGGAGGTGGAAGGTATGAAAAAAAGGCCATGGAGCACATATTATGTATATATATTCTTACAACGAGGTGGGTGTCTGAAGGGAAGGAGATGGAAGACAACGAAGACGGTATGGAATTGGCTTGGAGGCGGCAAGGAGCCCCAACAGCCCGCTGACGGGGGATAAGATGGGCCGGAAAAGTGGAGAGAAGGAGGGAAGGAGAGAGAGGGGGGCATGACGCGTAAACGCACAGAACACAAAGACTCCGGGGAAGGCAAGACGCTTGACACTGGTAGCTAGAAGTGCCAACTCTCAAGACAGAAGATGCCAAAAGCAGTGGGCGACAGACAGAAGTAAGGAGAGTGAGTAAAGTTAGCTAGACCCGAAGAGAGACCAAAAAGGATGATCAAGAGAAGAGCAAAAAATAACTGTCTGTGTGTGTGTGAGTGTTTGGTCACTGCTGCGGAAAGAGCAGAGCAAGAGAAAGTAAGAACCAGGCGCCACGCGCATGGCGTACGGCCGTCCAAGTCCCTGATGCATATATATATATATATGCAAACACAAAAATAACTAATAGATTGGGCGGGCTGTGGGATAAAGAGAATATGTGTAAGTAGAAATAAAGGTGGCAGACTCAAAACACGAGTTTGCTCTTTACAACACAGCTGCTGCCGAGTAGGGGAGGGAGGGGACGGCAATAGGGCGAGGTGGGGAGAGGGGGGGGGAGGGAGAATAAAAAGGCAAACAGGTGCGGTGTATGTACAAACACAGAGCTGAGATAAGGGTTGGAGTTGGTGGACAAGTGCTGGACGGAGAGGAACAACGCATACTTCTGGAACTGCTAGCGATTGCTCGAGAAGAGTGCTGTTGGGGATGATGATGATTATTAATGGACGAGGACGAGGGGCCGAGGGAGAATGAGTGTAGAGGAGCTAATCTGTGCGTTTGCGAGGGGTGCGTTGAGGTACTGCTTTCAGGTTTGTTTGAAAACGTAAATGAGGAGGAGGAGGGAGGACGGATTCGCGCTGTGCTGGAGGGGGTGTATGTGCTGCTGAAGAGAAAGATGGGATCGCGAATCACGCTAGTGCGAGGACGCAAAAAGATGCGGAGATCGGTCTGGTTGGTCAAACCCTGCATTACTAACGTTTCTTCTGCCGACTGCCGGCAGTTCCGTTGTTGCCACCGCAGCTGCCACCATTGAGGACGGTGGTCTTTGTGGTGGACTCGTTTCTGGAGTCCGATGACGCGGCACGGGCTACGCCGCCAGTGGCAAGGCGTCTTGTGGACTTGGAGGAGATGGAATTGTTTGCGGCGGTGGCGGTGGCGGTAGCGGTTGTTGTCGTCGTTGCATCTGGGCTGGCAACGCTCGTTGCTTCCGAGACTACAAGACCTCGCGGTGCCGCGAGAAGATCAAACTCTACCAGGAGAGGGAAGTGATCGGATGGAACGTGGATATGTGGACATCCGAGGATCTTCTCGTCAGTGAACCAGGAGTCGGAGATCTGATCGAGACTACCGAGCAGACGGAAATGTTGTCGAGTATAAAATATGTAGTCGATCATCCCCTTGAAGTCATACCTAGACAGGAGGCAGGAAAGAGGCTGATTTAGTGCTCGATAAATAGTGCAACGTTTTCTTATAATTCGCAGAAGCTGTCTTCGTAACCCCTTATAAGCGTTTTTGACTGATTTATTGATTAACCGATGACGGTGGTGGTGGTGGTGGCGACGGCGGCAGTAGTGGTGGTTGTAGTAGTAGTAGTGGTGGTGGTGGTAGTAGTAGTAGTAGTAGTAGTAGTAGTGGTGGTGGTGGTGGTGGTGGTGGTGGTGGTGGTGGTAGTAGTAGTAGTAGTAGTAGTAGTAGTAGTTGTAGTAGTAGTAGTAGATATAATGACTCTGAAGGAGATCTGGGAGCATAACGCATCGTGCGGGGTTGGAGAGGGAATCAGATTCACCCTCCCCCACCCCCCCGTAAGCATCACCACCACAACCACCACAAATTCCTAGCAGGCCCGGAACAAACCGACCGCAGATGAAACAGGGCGCAAGACTCCCGCCCCTCGCGTGCTACACGACAGTTCGACCATCGATTTCGATTATGTCCACCGTGTGCCCCACAGCAGCAGCGGTGGGAGCAGGGATGGTGACTTGCGCAGGGGTTTTTAGTGCCAGTAGACTTGCGTAGCATCTACCTACACTCTCTCCTCCTCCCCCGCCTGGGCCCGGAGTCAAGACAGAGTCAAGAAGACCGGAGACGGGGGAGGCCGCAGGTGGATGGTTCGGACGGATGCTCGCCTTGGCGCTCCACTCCGCACCCCCTGGTCCACACACAAATGACCAGGATTTGACCACAAAACAATGGGGTGGTGGCAGTGGTCCAGTTGTGCGACGAATGCCGACAACAGGGTCCGCCAGCGCACCCCGCAAATGTTGGCATTTGTTATTGCGCACA